CAACGCGCTGAAAAATGTATTCATACTGAAAATCACAACGAAAAACATGCACAAACATACTTCAGACGAGGCGAGAAGCTGGTAGGAGAAGACTGCGCTGAGATCGCGTTAGTCTTTTTCATTCTGAAACTCCTCATATTGTCATTTGAAGATGATTTGTTTTATTCGTCGAATTCTCAAATCTCGATCCGAGTAATTGAAATGCAATTTGATTTACTATAATCAAACTATCCGTTAATTATTTAATGATGTTGAATTTTTCTTTGAAACGGTGGTGACAACATTACCGGAACGGTAACAACAGAAAAGGGATCAATGGCTTAGTGGTTCAAGAATTTCTCAAAGACGTCCAAAACGTCTTTGTTCATAGTCTGGTTTTCGGCAGGGGATTTCAAAAGAGTCTCGAGCTTGTCCTTCACCACTGCTCGAATTTCGACAAGGACTTCATTTGGAATCGAAAATCCCCAATCCATAAATTGGATAATGAGGGTCATCACTTCCTTGATGAGGAGCGCAAAGTCTGTTTTCAAATTCTCAAGAAGACACTTATAGACCTCATCTGTTCTTGCAAAATCATTCAATCTGTCTTTGTCGGTCTTTAAGATAGAAACTAAAATGCGAGTCGACTCGTAACGAACACGTTTATCAGGTTGCTCTTGATTCTCTTGTCTCTCATCTTTCCCAAGACAAACATCAAGAAGCGCATCACATCCACCATTCTTCTTGAAGACTTCAAAGAACTTCGCGTCAGCGTTGATCAAGTTTCTTAAGCACTGAACCGCAGAAAATCTAACAACAATGTTTCCCATCATTTTGAATGTCTGGACAATAAGGTAACAGCTCGAGTCGGTCATCAAGACACTCTTGTCATCTAACATGACCGTCATGTTGTGTAATACAGACAAACATCTGAAAATAAGTTGGTTGGTTGTTCATCCCCATCCCATCGAAGAGAACTTTAAATTGCGTGATGACATCATCAGCGACCATCTTCTTGCATATTCCTCATTTGTAGAAATGACTGTAAATCCCCCGATGCGTGTTTTTGCAATTCATCAACTTGCTATTTCCATTTTGTTCCACAGTCAACTTCAAAAAGGGTGCATAGTGCTCGAAA